AACGAACCACGCACAGATGTAGCAAACACTCTCTCGCACACACACATATTCGCTTTCATACACAGAATATGAACCACATCTTAGTGTGCATAACAAAGCAAATTGCAAAATTGCCATCAAACAAATTCAAAAACTCGGGCACCAACCAGCGGTGCAGTGCACATGTTCGAAATGTATCCATTTCTCTGTGTGTAGTGAAATTCAATACTCATCGCCTGTAAATCGAGCGCGCATTTGAAATATCCATTGATGAGCTTAATACACATTGCTTTTATGTGCAATTTACTCCTTTTTTTCTGATTACACCGAATTTGTTTCAATGGAAGCGCACACATTTTCACATTCTCGCATTCCATGTGATTTATTCGTTCGACAAGCAATTTATATCGGGTGTAATTTCAAATCCGTCAGTTGCAACATTTAAAGACGAAAAATCAACAATTACACTGAGCAATATTACACACAAAGTATGAATACTCGCGGGACATCCGAAATTGATGTCAATACACATACACAGGCACTTTTATACAAACGTCCACACACAGAATAAATGAAAAATCTCCCCATTTCGATATTTGAACAAAAATGTTTAGCAACCGCATCAAATAAAATCGAACTGCGAATGTTTTAGGCATCAATCAAACCGCAGAATATGGAATAAAGCGATTACCAAAATGTATGAATTGTTCGTTACTTTAATTTCCTGGGAAAACAACACAAAATGATATCGAATCGAATGAATTATCGAAATTACTGAAATTATTTTGAAACACACGTGTACACATACACAGGCATCCAAACGAATTGCCTGGAGGGAATGACGTGATAAAGGCTCATCGACTTTTCAAAGTCTGCATTAATTGTATTCACAACAATTTTGTATTAGACACAAAAAAACAACAATTTTCGGATGCCTGAAAGGTTTTAATCCAGAGTAAATGTGAGGGAGAGAGAGAGAGAGAGAGAGAGCGCCAGAGGGAGGAATAATGTGTAGTAGACAGATTTAGTGAAGATTCTTAAAAGAATTTGTAAATATTTTCGTATCGAGCTTTCATCGTTTGGATGAATTCCCTCGATTCCACGTGGTACACCTCTCAAAACAGCGCACAGACGAGGGTGATTTCAACACTAGCAGCTATAATTCAATCCCAAATAAACTATGTTCGATAGTAGCAAATATCGACATATTCACCTCGTCTTCTTCCTCTTCATCCTCCCCTCAAAGTTACACTGAGAAACGGGTGGGTTCGATTACAACGAACCAAAACCAATGAGCATATGTGTATACGGTATCGAATAATAACAGTAAAACCGTTTAGAGCGTATGTGATCGGAATGTTTAATCTCACCAGCCAAATTGATACGATACTGGACTATATATTGACTATGAAGAAGCTAGGGGAATATCAAGCTCCTGAATCTTGTGAGATATTTGAAATAAACATCAATTGTATGACATATTTTCGAATAATTCGACTAAATAAATCAGATTTTTGTGAATTTTGGAGATATTTGGGATTTTTCGCATTCAATCCGAATAAATACATTTAAATATCATTCATAAATTATGAATCATAATCAAAAATATCCACCATATTTCATACGACAGATTCTTAGAGATGAATTGGATTTTTCTGAAATATTTGAAATAATCTAAGTGTGATTTCCCCTAGAAGAGAGCGGATGGGCAAAGTGGCAGGCAATAACACATACAGAAACACAGAAATTAATTGAATCCATTGGAACGTCGATTAGAAAATGCATTTAGTTTTCAATAAACACGCTTAGCATGAGGCAAACTCATTAAATATCATTCAGTTTTGAAATATTTCCCTCTGTTTACATGCAGTTTTCCGCATAAACTTCGTAGAAACCTAAAATAAAGCCACAAAAAATTCTAATATTGTTCACATGTAACCCAACATGTGAACAATATTTATAACGAATCTAACATGGAATTCAACAAATCCGAACCTTTAGGTTGGAATAGGAATTCCAATTCATTGGTGAAATACTCATTTTAAATGGATACCTGTCAAATGTGCCTGACGATTTATGTTCCGCCGATAATTCCACTGGTGTGGTTGCTTAGCGGCAGTCAGTATACACGTGACTTGGTATTTGAACAGTCAATTTGGAAATGCAAATGCTCTAAACCAATTTAAACCGTAGTTTTAAGCCCACTAGAATGATTGAATGATATGCTGGGTGTATATATTCTTGATTTCAACGATTCGACGCATGTTCTGAATGTTCTCCCTACTCTCACTATCCGACTGCAATCGCATCTTTTGACGGTATTGTAAGCCATGGCATATGGCAACCGATATGAACTTAACGCAGCTAGAATTAATTTAAGCTATTGCTTTTACATGAATGAAGACACAAAAAAGCAACAACAACAACTGCCCAGGTTTTGGCGAATATTAATTGCAAACGTTACACGGATGGTATTCTTTGCATTTCGCCCCCTGCACTGGGTCATTTCCTCTAATTGGATTACGAATAAACATTGGCCGGGCTTTGATGCTGTGCGTGGTACTCACGCGCAAACGATGGAGATTTTGCATAATGAATGTTTTTACGAAATAATTTGCGTTATCAATGGTGAATGAACCGCTGAGAATATTCGTCGGACGGTTTCTGATGCATAGTTGAATGTGGAACTTATACAAAGTTGTATATTTTGCGTACAAATTTTCCAAGATTCACAATTAACAACACGTCCAACGTGTATATTCTCAGCAGTTCAACTGAGCCAACGATTTTTGTGCTCTATTTTCTAACTTCATTATTACGTTTGTACCGAAGTTTGAGGATCATTTTTAATCCAACTTTCCTCTGAAGTGTAATGAAAAATGCTCCATTATTTAATACTCATTACACAAAGACACAGCGACGGTGCATCATCACCAGGGCCAAAATAAATATGCAAATGCATATTCCAATAGTTTTAACACGATCGTGCATATTTTGTCATTTTCGTATAATAAAGAATTTTTCGTCTATTTAAGACAACTTTAATTAATAAATCGAATAGTTTTTTAACATTACGCGTGCAAATTTTGTGTATATATACAATATGTATATATAAGGAAACCAAAACACTAGACAGTCACCGTCACTCGTTCGCAATAATTCGATTTCATACGATAAAAATATATAAACAATAATCTCAATTACAAAATGATTCAACGACTGAAATGCTATGTATGCGCATGATTTCGTATGAATTTGAACGAGATATTCCAAACGAGCTACGGCACGAACGCGAATTTTACCAAACTTATTTTATTGAACTTTATTTTCACTTATATTTGATACGATTTTTGACGTTTTTTTTTTAAATTTGAATGTGGAGAATAAATAAAAATATTAATGTATAACCGACAAATTTGTTATTTTGAATTTTTTTCATGCATATTTTACGGATTTCTGGAGTTTTTTTTTTGCATATTTGGCCGATTTACCGTGCATATTATCGTGCATATTTTGCCATTTTGTCGTGCATTTCAATGCGCATATAATTGATTTTTTCGTGCATATTTATTTTGACCCTGATCATCACAAACATTTCAAAATACAAACCGCTTAACTATTTCGTTTCTTTTAATTTTGCGATTTTTTTTCTTCTGAGCATCCTTTGGATGGGAGCGATAGCGATATAAGTCAATATTTTTAAGTGCTCTACATTTATGCGACGCTACCGTTTTTCATTTCCAAGGTAAAGAGGCAAAGATGACCCGTTAACCATTTTAGCTTTTCGATGCTAATGAACCGTGCAATTTTGCTCACTCAAATGCATTAAAATTGAATTGCATACAAGTGTTGTGCTGTTGAGCCGGACACTTTTCAGACTCTATTGAAACTGAGAGATGTTGTTATGAATATTTTGAAAAACAATTTCACAAGTTTAAATTTTCTCATTATTTCATATTATAAATGCCACTTTTCTTCTATCATTATTGCAGCACAAAATTCGCTCGATACTGATTTTGAAATATTATTTCCTCAATTTCATTCTCCTCAACTTTCTCCTGAAACATTTCTGCTTCATTGTTTTCCTTAAGTCAAGTATTCAAGCGTTTCCATGATTATGGTCGTGATAATGAAGTGATGCTTGATGTGAAGTGTCTTGTGTCTATATAATATCATTGCCGCATCAAGTATTCCATTTCATGGTAATCCGGTTGTTGGGGTTGCGGTTTAAATTGGTTTGTCAGCAGCGAATGTGGCGTTGAAGACTTCGCAATTCATCGCAAAAACGCATCAGTTTGTTATTTATCAAGTGGTTTGTTGGTCAAGCAGACAACTTGAATGCATTGCAAGCACGAAATGGTTTCCTCTCTCAAACAAATCGAATACATAAAGATGATGAAGATTTAGCATAAAAATTGAACTCAGTCCAGTGATACTTGAGATATAGACACTGACATTAAAAACTTCAACGTGATGAATGTTGAACACAGTGTTGAATTATTATGTGTTTAATTCAAACGATTGTGTTCAAACAGAAAGATGAAGGAAGAAAAACGGCACACAAATGAAACACTGAAAAGTACTTTTATCAGGCGCTAACAAACCCACACACACACACACACACACACACAAACACTTTGAAGTCACTTGAATCACACCGGAGAAAAAGAAATAGACGAAGACGATGAAGAAACAACAAAAAAAATGCGCTGGGTCGTAAATATAATCCTTCGTGCGTTTCTTGGTTATTCATATGATTGCGCAATTCCATTCATTCATAACTTCTGCTCTTCCATTGTATGAAACCGTGCTCAAGTTGAATGCTTCGCATTCAACAGGTTCAACATTGGCAACAATCAAACTGCACTTGTACACGATCAAAATAGATGGAACAAGCAACTCGAACTCGGTTTTTTTCTATAACATTTCCAATCTCATTCAAACAGAATCACACACACACAGGCACACAATAATAAGTAAAATAATTTAAAAAAAAATAATGTACAATGCAAAGAACTTACCTCTAGCTCGAGGTTTTGTTAGCAGCTTTTGTACGATGTTGTCATAAGCGATTTCTTCGGCCACACCCGAGTCCTTTACAAGCTTCTCCCTAACCGCAATACAAATATTATGTTTAGCCAATAGATCTTCGAGCTCCTCAAATGCCTGTCCGTATCGCCGCGCCATTTCCAATATTTGTGTGTGGGTATCGAACATGTAAGAATAAAGACCGATATGAAAATGGTGAATAAGAAAAAGCATAGGAAAAAATTCTCATTTCTTTCTATTTGGTTCGTTTTTTTTTCTCTCCTGTGAAAATTGAAAAAAATAAACGATAAGTACAAATGCACGTGTTTTCCATTATTATTCTCTCCCCCGTCCATACACATTACAGAAGAACCTTTTTTCATATTTCATATTTTTCACATATGTGTTGAAAATGTGTTGATTCATTTTGTTATATAAATGTGGTGCAGAAGTAGGAGTGAATGAAAAAAAATTGCCGATCTCTGACTATCTGGATTGAAAATCCAATAATTCTGGAATAACAAAGACCAAAGCAACAGCAATGTAATATATTTCCATTATGCTCTCGATGTGGACCGACTAGTGCAAACTTTAGCTTGGCCCCTTACCTTTTCAAATTAGTTGAATTGGCTTGTTTGCATTCAAGTTGAAAAAAAAGAAAAGAAAACCGAAACCATTCAGCAGACCAATTTCGATTTTTCACTTGACGATTTTCCATTATCGCCATGCGCTATAAATGGTGACGAGCTTTGGTTCAATTAAAATGTTGACGGAAGTTCTTGGAAATGGTATAAAGAAATAATGACACTAGATGCACGATCAACAAAATAAAAGTACACTCAAAAGTTGGTAGACGTAAAACTCAAATAAGTCGTTTGAAAAGAAGAAATGTGAAAATAAAAAATTGAAAAGTAAAAAAGAAAAAAAAAATGTTTAAATCAATTTTTAATTACATAAAACTGAATTTTAGCCAAACGAGAGAGAAAAAAAAGATCAATACTAATGGGAAACCGGTTCACTAATGCGATGACCGACGCTGTAGCGTGCAATATGGATAAGCCCAATATGGGAGACACATGTATAGTTAATAATTCAATCGGATTAAGCGCAAAACATGCTTTTGACGAGGTTCAATTTTTAAAACGCCTGAAGCAAGTTTTACGCTTAATCAAATCAAATCAGAAAAAAAGGCCGAACATCTCGATGATAATGTTTTCAACACATTTGCTGTGGAGGCTACTATTGATTTTTCGCTTGATGGACTTTTTTTCCATTTTTAATGGACCAACTCTTTTCAAAGCTCCTCCATCAATATTGCTGGAAAACTTTTTTAACCGCACGACTGCATTTGGTATGAAAAAAAAAAAAAATACATATATCGAAGAAAGACCCGAATTTTTTTTTTATCTAAACAAAAAAGGAGAAAAACAGAAATGGGTGCTGAAAATTCAACAAGTGGACGAAGCGAAAAAAATTAATGGTCGATTGACTTAAGCGTAAAAGACCCTTTTCCGCATTAAAAAATAGACTCGTTGAATTGACTGCATTGTACCACTAAAATAAAAATGACACAGGACCAATCGCCATTTCAAAACCAATTTGATTTTCGGACGCTGAACAAAAAAACCACACACATAGGAACACGAACAGATTGTTCCTATTCTAAACAGTAAAACACACGAGTCTAACAATTTCGCTTCGAGTTTTTGTAAATTATGGGTTATTCCCGAAAAAGTTATGGTTTAAGTGGTTTTGATGCGAATGTCGTCCATCCGAATCCTTCAATATAATAAATCAGCTGAAAATAAAAAAAACAATTTATTTCCTACGGCGTTTTTATTCTCATCACCGTGAAATGCAATCAGCCAACTAGCCAGACAATGAGCAAAGAAAATGGATTGAATTTTCGAGAATAATCGCCATTATTTCACGCGAAAAACAATAGCAACTTAATGTAAGCGATCACATCACAGCCAAAATGCAAATTTGTTTTCGCGAAAATGTTCCGCTTTTGTTTTTATCGATGTACGCTTTTTTGAAATCATTTTTGTCATGACTTTGTACAGCGATAAAATAATTCATACGGCGATGCGCGTCAAACACTTGCTAATGTTATTAATTCTTTTTTCACGTTAACGCTAATGGTAATTTATTCAATGAAACTTGTGAATTATTTTCATTAAAATTCACATAAATTAGTACAATGTAGCGGTGAAACACAATTAATTTGAATGATTCCGGGAAAATTGTTTGCAACGCGCAACATTTTGCATCGGATGCATAAATTAGAGTGGGATGCTATTGAAATTCGAATTATTTTTTCAATGCGATACGTGGCTATAGCGAGAGCTATGAGCTGCGGATGACATAAATGAAACTACTTTCTGATAAATAAGCATACCTGACACATTGGCGGCAAGTCGTCAGCGAGACTAGCCAATAAGTTTTTACATTAGGATGCATTCACTGGTCGTGCACACGAATGAATGAATGGCACATGGAAATTGAGAAAATCAACAGCAACGAAAAACAGCAGCTAGTGTTATTTTACCATTTGCCGTGGCTGATCATAGCAAGAGTTCCGCATTTCCCTTTTCCATTACCAGCCATTGTGTCTTCGAATTCATCCAAATGCACGAGCCAAGTGTATTATGGGACCATTGAAAGTATTGCAATTTACTGGAGGCGCAACGACGAGATGTATAGAGTTTTTTGTTTGTATTGTATATACGCTCGTTTCGAGCGATGGTAAATAATGGCATGGAGTTATTATTATGCACGATGTAATGAATACCGAACAAAACGAACCAATTCATTTTCCAGGTTGCGGTGCACTTTCAGACAAAGTCGTGTGTAATTTCAATAGAATAATGATGCAAACAAAGAGCTAGGTGCACATGGTTGCACACAAAAACCGACAAAGAAACACCGAATGAATCAACTTTTCCGAACGCAGAAATTGGTCGGATAGCAAAAAAAAAAAAAATGAAAAGTATTAAAATCGGTGAAAACTAACCACGATGTCCTTATATGTGCGTATACAACGCGATTGATGTACACAACACGACGAACCGTGGGTGAAAATAATGACGTGATTTATTTTTTTTTTTTTGCATGAAAAGCGACTTTATTCACCATGCTATGAATTAAAATAAAAGGTTTTCGCTACTTTCAAACATGAATTCGTTTGCTAGTCCTAAAAGTATATTCCATTGAAACTCGGGAATTTTGTAATTGTCCAATCAACCATAATGTAAATGAGGTAAATTAACAAAAAGTTTACAAAAACCGAACAAAAATGTTTTTCAAGATGTACAAGAATTTTTGCTTTCGGGTTTGTAACGTGTAAAGTGGTACACCGGTTTTAAATCGAAAAAAACCAGTGAAATATTGATGTTGCCAAAGAACTCTATTAAGACCTCTATTTCGCGTGCTTCCAAAACGAATGACTGTTTTGAACTTGACAAAACTTGCGGTTAAAAATAAAAATAAAAATGAATAACAATCGCAATTATTCACGATTTATAAATTCTATTCGAGAAGTTTGATTTTCAATGAACATATCTAAGAGTTGTTTCGCTGAAAAGTCCGGTTTACTTAGGTCAGACCATTAATTTACGGTTGTTGTTGATATTCGGCATCAACATGATCGTCTTGCGGCCGTATCTTTTATTCAGAACAGCGATATTGTGGAGGGAATTAAACCCGTACAGATACGGCAGCATTTGAATGCGGTGCAAGTGTGTCTGCAGTATTAGCATAGTATACATTAAGCAGAGAAACTCACCTTGATGCCATAATTGCTTTCTTCGTATATAATGGAAATGTAGCTCCAGCCCATACGACGCACAATGTCAACCATTGCTTTCACCTGGTAATGATCCGACGGGATGGTTCGCGAAAAGTATTCGAAACGCTGTTTGTTGCTCAGTTCGGGACTCGTGGAGAAAAACGAAACCTAGATGCGAAAGATATAAAAAAAAGCACCGCCGTCGCCGCCACCAAATCGCAAAATCGAGTAGTAGCAGCAACAGCAGCAGCAGAGAGAAAAAGAGACAGTTTGAAACGCAGTGTACAGAACAAAAATTGATTATATACAAACGGGTTATTAAAAAAAAAACTACCCTAACAACAAAGTGAATTGGAAATAAAGATGCCAAAAAGATAAGCAAATACACAGCAACAAATTGAAATTTGAAATTATAAAAAAGGCACAGAAATAAACCGGTACTGCTATTATGAAGAGCTAGAGAAATAAAATGATGTTTGAAACAAGGAATGCGGATCATAGACAGAATATAGATTTCACCATTTTTTTTTTTGTGTTTGGCCAAATGCAGTACTGCACTCTAAGAGCAAGAAGAAAACGATTACGTTTCAAACTGAATACTTCACTCATTTTCGCAAATGATCTCGCGTTTGTTTTGATTTTCGTTTTTTCTAGCCATAAACTAGCACAAGAACTCAGTTCCAACCATTTTTTCAGTTAAATTCAATGGGTTTAGGAGAAGAAAAAAAAAAATTGAGGATCCGATTTGCAATCGACTATGAAATTGATATTCCATCTATTTGATTGGATGAATTGGGTCCATTTAACCAGTTTTATTGTCCGGCTTCCACATTCAATGTAAACTAAGCCTAAAAACAAACAAATTCTACCCTTTATTTGATGTTGGCTAACACATTTCACGATCGGTGAATACTCAAAGTAAATTTTCTATTCGGAAATGAGAAAATGTTCGGAATCGGTGTAACGAAAAATGTTAATTCCGTCAATATTTGGCAAAATTTATAAATTTCCATTTGGATGAACTTAAATGGAAACCGAAATCAAGAACATTTATTTTAAGCATAGCAAATTCTGATTTCATTGAAAGATGATACTATGATAATCATCCAGTATATTGCTTTGGTGAACTTTATTCTCCTTTCTATTTCTAATGAACAATCATTTTATAACGATTTGATTCGACTAATTATTTAATTGCCATCAAACAGAAATATGTTTAAGATAAATTTTAATGAATCACTTTTGAATTTTGAACAGAGGTGAACAATGATGTCGCTGTATCTGAGAAGAAACAAACGCAATCTCTTTGAATCAATTCAATTGATGAATTGCTATCGCCGTTTAACAAACCAAATTCAATTTCCAATAAACTTTTCTCTTTATTAATTCTATTAATTCATGAAGAGAGAAACCAATCCGAATGCAATCGCATGCTATAGGCCATAGTCTAGTGTGTAATCACTAGGCAAGAAGAATGAAATGAAAAAATAGAGTCGAAATCAGTTTACCCACTGACTAAACAATAAACTAAATACTTGATAAGTGCACTGCCAAAAACTGATTGAACAATAAGAGCCGATCGATGCATGCCATCGAGATTCAGATGAAATTACGCCACGTTAAATCATCCTTGTCACCATCACACATTCAAAATATGTTTATCTTCATGTTTATTTGCTTGATGCGCCGCAAGAGTGATGGTTTCTAAGTTTTTCAAGATAACGGAACCATTTTTCGAACTTATTCAATCGTTTTAAACTTCATTTTCGACAAAGTCATCGTTATCCACATATCAAGTTTCAGCTTAAAACTCCCATAAATACCAAGCAACACAAAACACAAAAAACTCTATCTTGTTTGATTTCTTTCAAGTTGTGTTCTATCATTTCCGTTCAAATATGTTCGAACACTCAAGATATAGTCTGAGGTTGCAGCTGATATTCCACTTGGAGCAAAGTTGTGATTTCAATATTTTAGAGGAATAAAACCGATAGAGAGAGAGAGAGAGAGAGAGAGAGAGAGAGAGGGACGGAGAAAATGGGAGAAATAGAATTGAAGCAGTTTACCGTTTGGCGAGAGAAGTGTTAACGGTAGTTGTGAAAAGTATTTTCGGTACGTGTGCAAAGCATTCGTTTGGGGTGTTTCTCATCCCATCATCATTAAACTTCCAATTTTCTGGATTTTACAACAACTTTATTAAAATGACTTGGACGAAAGTCCAATGCAAAATATTGATGTAAACGTTTCAGATGCGTCTCTTCGTAGTTTCTCCTTATCGAAACAAATTCAGTGTTCAAGTACATTGACCGTGGCTGCCGTGCTTTCGGCTATCTTTCTTCATTATTGCAGAGAAATTTCAAGTTTTGCTCAACAAATCCAGTGTGTTGACGGAGTTTGTTGAGTTTTGTTGCATTGCAAATAGTTGCCAAACATTGGGTCCATCTTAACGAAATGCATGAGTGCAGAGATTAGGCAAAAACTACATGTTCGCATACTTTTGAAGCACAATTTTCTATTTGGTTCCACCGTTTTCTCGTTGAATATATTTCATTACATTTAATTGATAAAATAGAGCAGCACGTTTGAATGACTTTAGATTAATACACGAAATCAATAGCACTTTCTTATGCATGTTTCATATTTCATTGTGCATTTAGAAAATTCCATGGAATCTGTGCACTTTATCAGGATTGAATATTTTTTTGTTGAAAAAATACAAAGAGAGAAATAAGCCAAATGAAATCAGTTTAGGATTTTTTTTTAATCTGAAATTCGCCAGTAAAAGCCGTTTCTTTTTCGATACCATTCGATTTCATAATAATGAAGAAAAAAAAAACAATCGCATTCATGGAATTTCGTGAAATTTGTGTCAATCACGTTTCTTCGCATTAATACATTGAAGTGATCAGCGACAGAGGAAAAAGCACATCACATTCAATGATCACAGCAAAAGTACTACGACTCAAATACACGATTTAGATCGAGAAAATATGGAAATTTGTGTTACGTATGTTTGTTAGAAAAACAGAATATTGTAGATAGACCTGCACGATGTGGCACCGACAATCATGTAAAATCATTCAATAGTCGTTTCTCAGCCTTGTTTCTTTTTTTCTGATTTTCTTCTATTCTTTCTAGCAAAAGAAGACGCACATATTCTGTACTCGTTCCACTATCTCATTATGATAGAAGGATGGTTTTCCTGATATGCAACTTTAATGCATATGTAAACGTTTTCACTTCATCGACCGACATACACTCTGACTCCGTGCTACACTCTTTTTTTCTATATTGCTTTCGTTCATTTCTTCTCTCCTCTCTTTCTCGGGCACTCATTCGTATCATTTGGTTACCCATGGCTGGTCTATTATTTTCTCCGTGCAAATGCAAAGCAGCAGAAGAAAAGAAAAAAAAAATGCAAAACACAGAAAATGTTCTGCTTTGAATATCCATATAATACCATTGAAATGATAGCATATCTAAACTGGTGGTAGTCTAGACACGCGAAATGGCTGTGATATATTGAGAATGCCGATGAAAAGTGCAGTCTGAAATGAATCACGGTTGATAGCAATGGAAGAGAATCGTTTCATTTCTCCGCGAAGTAGCAATTTGATTGGAATACAATTTTAATGCTATGCTATATAGCACAAATTGCTAAACTATACGACGGCGATGGCAGCGGCGAAGGTAAAAAGCTGTTTATGAAACGACATCGCGAAACGCTCTCTCTCTCTCTCTCTCTCTCTCTCTCTCTCTCTCTCTCTCTCTCGTTCACCACGCGTGAACAACTTGGCTAGAGAATGGAATGTGAAAAAGAACACGCGCATAACTCCCCGCCTACCCGATCTCGCCAATCTGGTATTATTTTTATTGCGCTTTTTCTTGCTACGATTGCTGGTATTGTTGAATGCGACTTGCTGCGCACACAACTGATTTATTGAACACAGCATATGAACAATATTGTACGAGTCAACATTGTGTGGCATTTTAAATAGACAATGCTGAATTTTTTTGGCGGCAAACGAAATCGATGTAATGCTTCGGCATGAATGAGCTTTTTCGAAACGAGAACGAAGAGTTAAATGGGTAGAGACATTGTGTACACCAAGACACTTGGTAAACCGCATTTGGCAATTGTGTACTTTGCCTTGGTTCCTACCGAAACCAACGAGAAAGAGAAAGGGAAAAGAGGAGAGAAAGAGGAATGGCAAAAAAAGTTAGACCAAAATAAAATTCTTATTAAGGTGCTGTAAAATCTTCGGTGTGCGTGTGTTTATGTATACGATGCGGGGTTTTTAAAATTTACGCCAAACTTTGAGATACATCACAACCATCTGCTGCTCCATACCGAAAAATGATAGATTTCCCTTTGCCTACGACTCTCGAACCAACGTTTTCTTTTTTCTTCCATTTTATTTCTGCCACGGAACCCCGTCGAAAATGAGCTAGGCCGATATGCCAAACATACAAAGCACTAATTAGGAATTTGTGCGTGTGAAAATACCATTTTACTGCAAAACGAACAACGAAAAAAAAAAAAAAAACCAAAAATAAAATTAGAACCATAATAGAATGAGTAATTCGAAATCGTGGACGTAGAATAATTTCACCCACTCTGATACAGTAAAGGCTTTGACTACGCTTTCAAAGTACAAAAAAAAATCATTTGAATGTGAACATTTCGCGGAGCATGAGATTGAGTGATGGTGGCGGCCGGGTGTTTCAAAGAAGCAGAAGTACGCAACCCATCACATGAATTGCGTTCAGTGACTTTTCCTTCGAATGCGAGATGAAGAACAATAGAAGCAGCAGCAAAAGCAAAAAAGTGAAATAAAATTTGTATTTCGTGTACCTCTCAGCACTTCAATGAGGATGTTCTGCGTTAATTTCGAAAAGAGGGAAAAAAAAGAGTCATGAAGAAATTGACGTTGGTTCATTGTAATTCATCGTGCCGCAGTATGTGTTAGTTCATGGAGTTGTGCGTGCTTGAACGTGTGAAAACAGCGGAGAGAGAAACCAGAGAACCGATGGAAGATTTATTGTTTTATCTTCGGAAAATCTTTTAAGGATGGATTAAGTACAGACACAGCAGGAGCGCCAAACGACAGAGATGGAAATATGAAAGGGGCATGAGAACGCGCGCTAGATCAAGAGAAGAAAAAAATAAGTTGGTATAAAACTCACACTTCGTACTCACACACATTATAAATATAATCTAACACACCCACATATTGCGAATGTTCGGTTGGTGATATTGCTGCTGCCTCTTGCTACAAAGGCAGCAACCTTCCAATGATTTCTCCTGCACCACTTCATTCAAACATAAATCAACATCGAACCACGAATTGAAGGCTTTCTATTGCTTTTATTATTAGTCGATTTCAAATTTTTTTTTTTTTTTTTTTGCTATTTCTCCCCTTCCCTCTGTCTCTCTGGTTCTTTTTTTCTTTGTGCCATGGAATGAAGTCAATGAATAAAACCGAATAAATGCATGTTATTAAAAGCGCTGATATACTACATGAAATACGCGATGGGCTTTTTCATTTCGTCAATATATCGTTCACCAATATATCGTGTATCATGCTACGCATCTAACTGATGAACAAATCGATCGAACAGGCGTACCAAACATTTTTTTCCCTCCGCATGTATTTCATTTAGAGGCTTTATCGATATGCATGCAGTTACTTTTTGATTGGACCAAATCAATAAGAACAAAGGGTGCTTGGGCTAATCATTGTGTGTCATGCTTTTGAAATTTTGTTGTTGGTGTAGCTGCCACTGCTGCTGCTGTTTCTGCTGGTGGTGGTGGTGCTACTGTGAAGCCTTGGTTTTACAATGGGGAACCATTGATTCGTTTACGTCACGTGCAAACGCGCAACTAGATAGCTACTGATAAGCCCGACCACAATTTCGTTGTTCATTCCATTTCCCATTTTACTCTTCTGTCGTGTGTGTGTGTGCTGAGCGCTCCATTCACCTTCTCTCACTCGCTCACTCTCGCGCTTAAGCTCATTTGGTTCAGTTGTTTTGTTTTGATTCAATAATTTCAACGAGAAAATATAACCCTAGGTATTAAGTATTTTATACCTTCTCAAAGATAGCAACGATTTGAATTTTGAATGTGGTTTACGTGCAAAGGCCATATTCCAAGTCTTGCAATCTACATGAAAAACAATAGAAATATATTGTTGTCTACTGCTGTTCGCGCTACACCATTTCTCTCTCTCTCTCTCTCTCTCTCCCTCCCGCTTTCTTGTCACTTTTCTTCCCGTTTCTATTATTTATTTATCATCCTTTTGTGCACGCGCGTCGCGCGTATGTATGTATGTGCAAGGGCGCCTCTCTCTCGTTCAGCGCTCGTTCGGCAAAAAAGGCTATTGTTGTTGATTTATTCTGCACATCGTAATTATTTTTGAAATGAAATGAAATGAACTTGAATGGAATGATGCGCAACAGAGGCACAACCAAATAACTCGCAACACACAAACAATCAAGAGAACGGCAAAACAGAGATATGGCATATACACATCGTCACACAACCGAATGAATGTGTGTGTAATGCCGAGTGCGAGAGAGAGAGAGAGAGAGAGAGAGAGAGAAAGCGAGTGCAGAATATGATGGCGAAATTAATAAGTGAACAACAACATCAAGACTGAACGCAACCGGATGAGAACATTTTGTCGATGACATTGTTTCGGGTGACTCGATTGTGATTTTTTTTTACTGTGAATTGTAATGGAAGTGCAGTGTCGTCTCACCCGTTGGCTTAAATTTAATTTTCGCATGTTTGATAAAATTGGAATGCTTTTAATGCTCAATTCTTTTTTGTCTCTCATACAAAAGCATCAATAGCAGCGAAAACCGTTCTTATTCCAGAGATTGAATAAATGTTCATTTTGTTCATACATTTCGGGTAGTCAGAGTTGCTCAATCACTGCTTCGATGATTATTTGATAAATAATTTCGTAATTCGATTACAGTAAAACCTCAATAGTGGAACCTATGTTTAAGAGAAACCTCGAGATAGTGGAAACATTTTGGTTCCACTATTGGGAAGGTTTTACTGTATCGTGTGTGTGTGTGTGTGTGTGCTGCATAAATGAAAATCGAAATGATATGAAAATGATCCGGGAGTAAAGGAGACGAAAAAATGAACAATTTTAATTTAATTCCAGATGCACCAAAAGCGCCCTTGGCAAATTACCGATTTATTTACGGATGATATTTTTATCATTTGTTTTACAATTTTTTTCTTCTCGTGTCAGTATTTTGGAGTAAAAAGAATGGTCGGTGCAAAACCTTTTTTGAATGGCGTAATTAATTCGGTGCAACTTGTGTTTTAATTTATAAAAAAGGCTTTGGTATGGATTTTAATTTGAAATTTTCAAGAATTATTCCCGCTTGATAGATCCGCTTGTTGAACAACATGATCGTTTGAGGGATTCATGAATATGAAATGAGAATTTCCATTTTGTTTGTTACCATTTATCTGTATGTGTGAATTCGCAAATAGTTATTTTGTAATTGTTATGCTGATGGCTGTTTCCCGTCTATGAAAATCATTGGACTGATGAAAACCAATAACAATCGTGTTCCTGTGCTTCAAGCCAATCAACGAACTAATTTGTGACGAGAATAATAATAGATTGTTTTGTTGTTGATTTGTCGCGCAACTCATTACACTAGTCATTTGCCTGTCTAATTGGAAATTCAATCACTTTGCAGTTATTCTGTTCTTGTTCTGTATGTATGTGCGCTCATTTGCTCTCGTGTGGCGGCTGTTGAACGTCAAAGTCATTTGAGGCGACGCGAGCGCCCCCAATTTCAAAGGGCACATCAATGTAATTTAACATTTCAAATCGGAACTAAACAGCGCGCCAATTCGAAATATAGGAAAATATAGTGTCAACAGCCGCACCATGTTTGCTCTCCTTTAATTTTAACTTTTCGCCTAAACAACAAATGTCTGCCACGGGTGTTGCCAGAGAGAGGATGGGAAGCGGAAGAGAAACAGAGAAAAGGAAAACGAAGTGAAATCGCACAAAATGAGCAAAAAGTTTCTATTTTATTTAAGCGATGCTAAAGATTATTTTTTTCATTACTTTCTCTCTCTCTCTCTCTCTCTCTCTCTCCCAGTAAGAGCCCCGCTTGCCGTGATCTTCATAAATATGCAAATAATGCAAAGTGAAGCAATTGCCTTCCGATGAATTGACAAATATGCGAATAAGCTGCTCGATTTGCCGTATACCGTACACCAATATTATTTTAATGTATACATTAAGTCGAGGTTAAATAGTATGTAAAAATGATAAACCACATAATAAGTCGCGAAAGTGGCGAATGGTTTGAAGTAAGTGGTATGGTAGCCCGCGGATCAAAATGAAAAGTAACAAAAAAAAAAAGCAGCGGAAAATCATCACAAACACATACACAGCAGTGCCAGCGCCGTAACAACAACATCGATCGTTGTCGTCGACGACATCAGCGATGGCATGAGGTGAATGTCATCTTTTAGCGCTATACTCTTCGGTTTTTCTATATTCGTGCGTCTTTTTTTCTCGCTTTCTCCCGTTGAATTAAAATGAAATGGTAAAATTAATAAGAACGTAACATAAAAAAGCAACACAATGACAAACGACAGCGCTCGACTTCGGTTTTTGACTAAGTAACTGAAAATGAAGTGACTTACCTGTGGAATGCGAAACAATCGCAAGAGATTAGCTACTTGGATTGATGTCACAGACGATGGAGCCCCAACAACACCCGATATCACTTTTCGCACTTGTGTTTTATTGCAGTGGTATTCGCCTCCGTCAATGTTGCTGATTGAACCTGTGTGATTTTTGTTGTTGTTTTGTTTTTGTTTTGCAAAATGCCATTCATTTGGAGGGGTGGGGGACACATCAGATGAAACGATGGAAGCGAGGTTCGGGCAAGACATAGAAGAGAAAAATGTAAAGAACAACAATAGAAAAAAACAAAATGAGAATGAGTATGAGAGAGAGAGTGGAGTATACGAAGGTGTTTATTAAATTTATTTTGTGACGAAAATAATCAAAAGACGAAAGTACAAACATTGCGTCGGATATATTTGTTGCGAACGGTAAGTTGGTATGAAAAGAAGAGCGAACAACAGTAGGCGAAGGAAAATAGAAGAGAAGAAAATAACACGAGAGAAAAGAGAAAGCAACCAGATGAAACAACAACAGCAAGCAACAAAAAATGAATGAGATTTAAGTAAAGCCAAAATGAATTGAATTTATTTAGACTGTAAGTAAGTTAAATGGTTAGATATTTATTTTTGGCTTATGAAAAGTTCTCATCAGCATTGTCAGACTGAGCGTTTGGTATGCGAAGACAAAAGCCGTAAAATGGTCGATTGTAGCGTGAGAGTGAATGAGCGAATGGAGCGCGTACAAGGCTGAAAAAAGAGCGTGAATCGAATATTTGCAAGCGCTGGCACTGACACATACAAACCCATACACACATGCACGCACCTCCAACAAAAATGCCATTCAATTTCGAATTCAAAGGGTATGCTTCGGTCTGTGTTTGTGTGTATACATTCAATCTAAATACAATAACGACAAACACTTCGGGAAAAAGTAAAAGGAGCGAAAGTTGAAATACAAAAAAAAAAAAAAAAATACGAAAACAAAAAGGAAAACTTCATCATCCGCCGAATAAAACTCGGAAAATGAATATTAAAGTAAATAAGCACTTTTGGCTTTTACCGCTGCCCGTATTCAATATTTCTTTCGGAAGTAAGAACTCATATATGTATAGACACACGCATAAAATCCTAGTGAAACGATCAAACGATGTGAAATAAAAAGAAGCACTTTGACTCGGTTGGTGGAGTGCAAGCAGTAGCATTTGCTGCCGTGCAAAAATGCTGAACGTGAACATCCACTATCAAGGCTCAAAAGGCACATCGTCTGTATTCGGTTCGCTTCGCCTTTTTTTTTCATCATCATTTTGTGATTGTAAATTTCATGCTTTTTTTCTCTTGCTCTGTGTTGCCGTGTGCGAACGTTCTGTCTACAAGAGACACCTGCTTATTCACTGCTCTGATTGTATCTCTCATTTGGTTTGGTAATTTCCGTTTCAATTTCAAGCTACATGCAAACTGTTGCTGTTGAATGCGGATGCCACCGTGTCCATCCCACAGCGAAACAGTGGTGCCGTTAAGCACAAAAGAGTTGCATACGTAACGTTGTGTGCGTGCGTGTTGGATAGGAAAACGTATGGAAAATGTGGTGGCGGTGGCGAATGTGGATGAGCGAGCGGACGAGAGGGAGAGAGCTCAAATGAATTGAGCAAGAAAATACTTGACAAAAGCGTCGATCAACATAATCAAATCGTAACGTAACCTTTTAGCATATATTTTTGCGCATCAAATGAGGCTGTTTTTTTTTTACATACAAAGTACGCTCACGAATAAAAACAATCTGTACTGCCTGACATAGGTCGGGCCTTTGTACTTTTCCCGATCGTGCACGGCATCGTCATATCCACCATATTTGCAATTTTGTATTTGGCGAATCTGCGACTGCATGTATTTAGTGTGATTGTGTATGGAAAATGTGTTGTTTGATGTGTGGATACAACGTGTTGAGCAATAAAAAAATATACGTAAGCAGCGTTATTTGATATTCCATTCTCTTTTTTTCTCGCTTTATATTTTCTCCTTCTGTTGTATTCTTCTGACGGGTTTTTCTCCTCTCCGTTCGCATACACACAAAAGTCGAACAACGACCCAAGAGAAACCAATCAAATTACTCTACGCTAAAATGATGCCAAGTTTAAGTAGTTCAATTTATTCTACACTGTTTAGACGCCCGCCAAGTTAAAAATGTATTGAAGATTCGGCGTAATTTCGGTGTGGAATAAATTAAGTTCAATACTATTTGTAATACAAATATATGTATTCAACTTAAGTTAAATTACTCCGAAGCTACACCGTTTGTCCAGTATATTTTTAACTTAACATATAGGTGGCGTTACATATTGATAATTTAAGTTCAAGTTATTTAATTTATTCCACACCGAAGTTATGCCGAATCTTCAATACATTTTTAACTTGGTGGGCGTCTAAACAGTGTAGAATAAATTGAACTACTTAAACTTGGCATCATTTTAGCGTAGAGTAATTTGATTGGTTTTTCTTGGGGAATCGTTGAAAATATTTCTGATTTCAATTTAATGAATTTTTTTACCGCACAGCTGAACACCAACTGAATATCCAGCATTATCATTGCCATTCTCGCTGGCATACTTTTTTCACTCTCTTTTATTTGCACTCAATATACTCACGCGTGTACATAATTGGAACAGAAATGCCATGGCCTGTGTTGGCGCAACGGCAAAATGAATGTGAAAATCCTGCACCGATGCTTTGACGGCTGTCAAACGCCATATTACCGGTGCAGAGTTCTCGCAAACATTCAGTCTCGAAGACGACATACAACGAACACACACAATAACGAAAATATTACGCGTTGAAGTGATATCACATTTCACGTAAGCAAGAGAAGAAAAAAAACATTTACACATTTCAATGCAACCAAAGAGTTTTTCGTCTCATTAACACTATTTACATATAGAAAAAGTAAATGCTGAATAGCTTATAAAAAACAGCTTTTCAGCAACTGCTAAATTTGTATTGAGGTCAATGGTTTTCCCGTTATATACAAACAACTTTTCAGAAGAATATATGGAAGAACGAATTAAATCTCATTTTGGACAGCAACAAACAAAGGAGAGTTCGTATTAATGTTTTCCATTTGGCTCCTACCTCGAACTATTTTACAAACAATTTGCCGGAATTTTATTTGACGTGCAAGCGTTGAAAATCCACACAGAATCATCGTTTGGTTTTATTTTTCTGCTGATCGGTATCAATTGTAGTGATATTACGCGAATGCAATAAATTCCCATAGTAAATATAGCGAATATTATGTGCATATTGTATATGTATATGAGTGAGTGAGTGAGTGAGTGAGTGAGCGGGCAAACATTTGTGTGTAAAGTGTGCTATGTCACCCCTCAGCTGACAGAATCAATTGAAACAATGGCTACATTTGAATGCTGAATAAATTCACTGAATTCGCCTAACAATGAAAAATGATCCATTTTCACACTATTTCATTGCTTGAGCAGAAAATCTCGTTTTATTCTTTTATTGTACGTATATATTTATTGCTGAAGCGAATATCGCGCAATAACTTGCAATTCAATTTGATTCCAGTCAATGTCTGTATCATTGTGTCGCCCCCTCTCTCTCTCTTTCTCTCTTGCTCTTTCACTTTCTCTGCGTCGCAAATTAAAATGAAAATTGGAGATATTTGGTTTGGGACTATAAAAACGACACCCAATGGCAAAATTAACATCTTAATAAAATGTCACAGAAAATTAAAGCATTTACCCTCCGCGTTGAAGAAACATTAAAAGCTGAAATAAAAAGAAAAGTCTGTCTACATTTAGATTAGCACACTAAATGCGCCGCCAGTCCGCCAAATGCTCAACTCACACACAACTAATAACTTGCTGTAGTATTGAAAATTGCATGTTACTCTGTGGAAAAAAGCTCACTTCCTCTCCACTTCCTCTCGTCTTGGGACGAGTAAAAGGGAGGGAGAGAGAGAAAGATAGCCAGTGTTCGGTATTAATATAAAAATAAAAAGTTTTACGAGCGTAAAACGAACTTTTCCGCACAAGTATTCAAAAAAAAATTGAAAAAAAGTCAATCATGGTCGGCCATCGTGTTATAAATCATTTAACACGGATTAACATGATAAAATCGTGTTAAAACAAATCAAAAATCCGTTCTATGATAACAAGAAAAAAAAAATCCCAAAAAAATCCAAGGGTCCCCCCTTGGGTGAAATTCTATGACATCCGAAAATTACCAGATGAACTAGTCCAATTTGGCCCAACTTTTGATATATCCAAGGTATTTACTAATAGTGACTCCTGGCCAAATTTGAGCGAAATCGTTTAAGCGGTTCGAAAGTTATCGTGGACACAACCAAAAATCGTAGTTTTTGGGCCATCATGGTCGGCCATCGTGTTATAAACCATTTAACACTGCCTAATATTATAAAACTATTTGAGAAAGATACAACAATCCACTCTAGGTTGATGAAAAAAGACATTTTTTTTCGTTATAATCCAAGGGGAGACCCTTGAGCGGTTCGAAAGTTATCGTGGACACAACAAAAATTAGCACACTTTTTATCACGTCGATCGCTATACTTTTCTCACACACTTCGTGTGCGGAAAAGTAATAGACAGATTTTAGCATTAATTTATGAAAAGTCCTTTGTTTTACCCGTCCGAGGAAATAAATGCGAAGCAAACAGAACACAAAAAGATAAACACAAACGACTTAAACTGTTTTATTTTGTGTGAGAGAATTCTCAAAGCGCAAAACGCATTCAAACATAATTTTCAAAGCGTTTTTTCTCTTCTAAGTTCGCAGCACTTGTTAAAATGAATAGTAGTTGTTATTTAGAGTGCGGGTGTATTCTGTACTTTGGTGGCAGTGGTTGCGCTGCGCTGCGTTTCATTTCGGAATGAGTGAGTGCCACAAAGCAAGTCAAATATAGCTCATTAATGAGTTTTAAATTTTAATTCAATCTGGTGCGCTGTACAGATTGAAATGAGTGGACGGGGTGAGACCGAGAGAGAACGATAGAGTAGCAGTATGTTGATATACCGACCGGAAAACCGGAAAATGCTCAATAGAAATGAAAATCAAGGCTGACGAAGCTTTAGCCACATAATTTAATTAAATCTGTTGACACAGAGCACGAAAGGAAGCAATGGAC